GATCAACATCTGAAGAGTTAGGAAGGGCACTTACCTTTCTATATTCACCTCATTGCCTCTGTCTCTAGTGTGGAAGATCATCGTATATTTGCCCACTTCAGGTACTGGCCGGAATATTTTCATCCTTTGGAGCTCAACCCTGGAAAATTAACAACGGAGTTTTTATTTCGTTTTGAAATCATCCCACTTCGCTACCACTCCCAAACCAAACCCACGGCCACGGAATCTGTTCCAGCTCAGAGGGGCCCCACAGTGCGGGTTAGAACTCTGGCCTGGGGCTTCCAGACTCTTCATCTCTATGGAAGCGGACTGAGAGTTTCGGCTTTGCCCTCAGAGGAGCTGTGGGGTCAGCCAGCTGAGCTTTCAGTGAGCAGCCCTGCCCCACTAGGACTCCCGATCTGGCCCAGCACATTCAAAAGATCCCTCAAAAAACTTACACACCTAATATCGGCGCACACACCTTGATCATTTGAGTATTAAAAAGGAAGAAGAAGAAAGATTTCTAAAATTATAGATTTCCTCTCCTCGGGGCTCAGGAAACAAATCCATAAAAGAATCATGTGTATCACTTCCTACTTAGGTCTGGCTGTGGCTGAAACATCACTTGGCTGCTAACTAGAAAGTCACCGTTCTAGCCCACAGCCACCCCGGGGGAGGCGCTGGTGGTCTGAATCCACAGAGCTTCCAGCCTTGGGAGCTTCGTGGGGCAGTTCTACGCGGCCCATGGAGTGGCTATGAGTTGGAACCAACCTGATGACAATGGTATGCAAAGGAGAGCGGTGAATTAATATTAAGTTGTTTTACAAAACAACTATTTTGGGGGGGGGGGCTTAAGGGGATCTTTATTGATGCTGTCTCAGTCTCCACCAGGGATAGGGTGTCTCTGCGCCCCCCCCAGGTGTTCCCAGACTTGCTATCTTAGACACAGGGAGCCTGCTCTCCTCTAAGCAAAGCTTGGGAAGCAGGGCTAGCCCTGTGGGGAGGGGGTAGCACAAAACAACTATTTTAAGACATCTTGAAGAGCCAGGAAATTGGACTTCTCAGGATTCCTAGTTAAAATGATCACTTAAGAACCACACACCTCAAAACATAAATAAATAAATAAATAAAATTTAAAAAAGAACCACACACCTCGGTTGAGGGGAGACAGCAGATGGTATAAAATATGAAGATAAAAATAATTGATAAATTATCAAGTGTTCATGAGGGTGGGAAGGGAAGGGAGGGAGGGGGGAAAAGAGGAGCTGATCCCAAGGGCTCAAGTAGGAAGAAAATGTTTTGGAAATGATGATGGCAACATATGTACAAATGTGCTTGATACAACTGATGGATGGATGAACTGTGATAAGAGCTGTAGGAGCCCACAATTAAATGATTTATTTTAATAAATAAGAACACAAGTAAGTAAATAAATACAAGAACCACAAACCTGGGGTCAAATCTAGACTGTTATTAACAATCTGGGGAAACTACTCATCGGTGACATAATGGCACAATTCCCTTGGGGGGGACAGGCTTTGCAAATGAGAAGGCAGAGAAGGGCGGTGCCTGTTGCACTGGTGATACACGCTCAGTACATCAATGCCCATCAACTTTCACGTTCAAATCATGTTGGTGTATATGGTGTATCCCTGCGTTTGCTGAGAATCATTCTGGAGGCCATGATATTTCTGTCAAAGAAAAGCAAATCCCGGGGTGCCCTCTTCCACCTAGAAGCTGAGGGGTAGCAGGGACCACCATGGTGAAGAGGCATGATCAGGGCATTTTCTTCCCGACCATCCGCTGGGCGCTGGGAGGGCCTTTGGAGAACAGATGGGTATTGTTCCCTCGAGTCCCGGCTCCTCCTGTCCTGGAATCTGGCAGGTGCTCCAGGTCCTGTTCGTAAATCACGACCACACAGACTACCGAAGGTCATTCTCATGGATCCCTTGGTCAGGGCAATCCATTCCCTCTTGCCAAAAGGCATTTCAGAGACTTTCAGCCTAGATCTGGGGTCAAAAACCCACCCTGGCTTCTTTCCATGGAAGAAGTGAACACACAATTCTATTCATTCCAAGCCCCAGCTTAGCAGGTTCATTTCCAGAGGCAGCAGCAGGAAGGAAAGGGGTCCCCCTCATAGCTAGAAAGACCCCTCCCTCTGATTACGAATCTGACACTGCAGGCCCCACGGATGTTTAAGTAATTACTGATTTCTGGGGGGTAGGGACAGTTATCCCTGCCTGACCATGAAACTCAAGTTCAGAGGTGGGACCCTAAGCAGGAGGAAGGCAGATTGATTTGCTCTGAGCCTCCAGAGCAGAAAGTAGTCCAAGAGCATCCAAGGGCCATGCCTACCAGCCAGGCAGGCAACTGATCCCACACATACAGAGCTGGCTCAGACCTAAGAAGGTGCCGGCATCCGTGCCTGCCTCAGTGTGTGCAGCCCTTCAGAGGCTGCTGGTACCCCTACACCATGGGGTCTCAGGGAAAACACAAGGCTTAACATAGGTTCTTCTACTTTCCTTTCCCAAATAGCAGTTTTCCAGACAGTCTGCGGGGTGGGGGGCTCTTAATTCACCAGTGAGACCTCGTCTTGGTCAGTAGCACCCATGACAAGCCCACTTCTATACCCCAAACGCCCGCAAGCCGGGAACAGAGCACCCTCCATTGTGGCTAAGCTGCCACTGATCAACAGCACTCTGGGCCCTGCTAACCTCCCTCCACCCCTCGCCACTCTTCAAGCCCAGCAATTCTGCAGCCTCGTGAGGTGCTGAGCTGGTAGCTACAGGAACTAAGCAGAAAGAGAAGTTTCCCAATAGCAGAGCCCCGTGAAGGGGACCTTTCTCTGTTGTTCACCTGAGTCTGAGGTCATCGTCTTCGCCTCCCCATCCCCAGTAGTTGTTAGAGAATCCATTCACCTTGAAAAATTGCTCTCTGGTTAGGGCAGTAACACCCCCAAAATATCCTTTGTAGCGTAACCTGTCACGAGAGAGGAGGGAAGAGGTGAGCACATTCGGAGCCGCCCTTTGGTTCTTCGTTAGACCTCAGAGGAGTCTGCCTGCACCCCCGCCATGCAAGCAGCACTTGGAAGACCACCCGTGCACTCCTCGCCTCCCAACGAGCCTGGTCTGCCCCGCCAGGCCTGCCTTCCTCCGTCTGCTCTTCTCTGCTCACTAAGCAAGAATACCGCCACTGCTGTAGTATTGTGCCTCGGGGTCTGTAGAGCGTCCTGCATGTGTGCAGCACACCAGTAGTTCTGAATCTCAGGCTAGATCTCAGCAGCCAATCCGATTCATTGGCCATGTTTGCCAAAGGCACTGGGGCAGGAGTTCTGAGGCCGAGCCAAGGTCAGCATAATGAGTGTCATGATGAATGTACCTTTTCTTCCTTTTCCTTTTCTGGGGGGAATCCAAGGTGGGACTGTGGTTAAAGCCCCCAGCTATGAACTAAAGGGTCAGCAGTTCAAACCCACCAGCATTACTGTGGCTGGGGGAAAGAGGCGGCAGTCTGCTTCTGTCAAGACTTCCAGCCTCGCAACCCCTGTGGGGCTGTTCTCCTCTGTCCTATGGGGTGCTATGGGGTGGGGTGAACTCCATGGCAGGGAGGGGGTTTGGTGGGATCCACCAAGTAGAGTCCCTGAGTGGCACAAATGACTAACACACCCGGCTGTCACCCAAAAGGTGGGAGGCTCACGTCCACACCGAGGTGAAGTTCCGGTTCTAAAGAAATCAGTCGTGGAAAGCCCTATAGAGCACAGTTCTACCCTAACTCAGGTGGAGTCAACGTGAGTCAAAATCAGCAGGACAGCAGCTGGGGTGGGGGTGGGGGTGCTGCTACTGCTGCTGCTGCTTGCTGTCCACCAAGTGCAAGACAGCTGAGGGCACAAGGCCCCACGCTCGAAGAGCAGGTAATCTCACAGGAGGGTTATCCAGGGTGTGAGGAAAGATACACAGTCACCGTAGGAGGAAAGGGGTCTAGGAAGATGATGGAGACATCCTAGTGGCCTCACGTCCATGAATAAAACATCTGGGAAAGAGACATGCGTAGGTTATGACAGGAGACATGAAGACAGGGTTAGCAGGCGAGTGGAGGGAGAACGAAAGGTTAAGGAAGTCTCAGGTTCTGGGACGACTGCTTTTTTAAAGGGCTATAAAGCCAAGGGTGGGGGAGATGTAGTTACCAAATAACAAACAGGTCCTTGTCGGAAGCAGTCAGATACCAGAAGGAATGCTGAGCCGCAAAACTCACCACTGACTCCTCCGGGGCTTTCGTACTGACCCCAGGACGGCCTCTAAATCAGAAACATTTTTGCTTTCCTTTGCCTTCAGCAGAGTCTGAGAGACTTGAGCAGCGCACCTGTCCTCTGCTAGCGCAGACGCTGAAAACGTTTCTTGCACTGCTCATCCTCCGGACTGCCCATGAGGCTGTCCCTACTCAGAGCGACCCTACAGGTCAGGGGAGGTTTAAGGGACTCTTAACTGTTCACCTCCTCTTTTTCCCGTGGAGTGGCTTATGGTTCACAGCCCAATTCTTAACCCTCCAGGTCTCCTGACTGGGGGAGTTGTTGTTCTTCTTAGCCAGTACCATTGAGTGGGTTCAGACTCACAGAGACCCTAGGTACAATAAGCAGAACACTGCCCCATGGGGTAGTGGCGGCCTTTTGTGATAAGGAACAAAGCCTAAGCCTATACTGCGGCTTAGTGCAGTGACCAACTGCTACCAGCAGGGGGCAAACACTTGTTACCTGCCATTACACTCACAAGCAACTAAAGAGGGATTTTGCTCCAAGTAGCAAAAGTGAACGTGTAAGTGAAGCCAACTCTGCCTTGACTGAGGCATACCTCTCCCTGGTCACACAACACGGGGCAGATTAAATGATGCAAACAATAAACTAGGAAAATATAAATGGTAAAACAGAAAACTCATGCCATCGACCAATGCTGACTCGTCGTGACCCTATAGAGCAGTGACCCTAACTGCCCCTGTGGGTTTCTGAGATTCTAACTCTTTATGGGAGTAGAAAGTCCCAGCTTTCTCCCGACGAGTGCCTAGTGACTTTGAGAATGATCGCAAGCGAACATATAACCACTCTGCCACCAGGGCTCTTAAATGATAAGTCAAAACTAAAACCAAACTCACTGCCATCGAGTCAATGCCGACTCATAGCAAACCGGTGAGTCTCCAAGAGGTAACTTCTACTGGAGTAGAAGCCCCGTCTTTCTCATGTGGAGCTGCTGTGGTTTCCAACCACCAACACTGCGGGTCACAGCCAAATGCATAAGCACCAGAGAAATACTGAATTCAGAGCAGATTAAGATTGAAAGCCATAAAGGAACTATGGTCTGTAATTGTACGTTTCTTTCCAGTTTCGAAAAGAGGGCCATGGTTTGGGCTGATTTTTTCCCATCTTGATACATTCAAGTACCTGACTCACATCGTTCAGGAAACCTGCCAGTCATACGGTGACAGTGCCCTTTTGATATTCAGTTCTAAAAGAAACCCCTTGCCAGTTTCAACAGCAGGATTCACACATGGGTTATTTCTAAAAGCTCCTGATGAGAAACTGGGATGGTGACGTCACAGTGTGACTCAGGGTCAATTCCAGCCACAAAAGCCCAAGAACTTGCCCCCTTTTTTTTTTTTAACTTGGCTTTTTTTTTTTTAACTTGGCTTTCTAATGGTCCAGTTTAATACAAGAATAGAATCCAGAATCCCAGGTAAAGACCCACCTTTAAAGCAACTTTCTGTGATTTACAATTTCTCATTTCTGGAATTTAGAACCAACAGTTTAAGGTTATCTATGGCGAGGATCTGGAATACAAATGCTTTACGTTGCAGAGAGCTACAGCTTATAATTTCACACAATCAAAAGGCAAACCGATGATAGAGTTCATGTTTCTGAAAAATCAGAAGCACCTGGCTCACAAGATCTACTTCAATGTAGTAGTGGACAAAGGAGAACCGAAAAGGCCTCCCAGGTAAAGGGATTACGATTTTACAGATTAAGTTCTCTAAATGGGGAGGGGGGAACCAGTGGGTCTTCTCTGGACTCCTCCCCCGCCTTCCTATCCCACTGCCCCTGCCCTATTCAGGCACGTGGCATGTCTCCTCTTTTCTCCCTTCCTGCCTTTTGTAGGTTACCTGTTGGGCAGCTAACTGCAAAATCGGTGGCTGTTCCACGCACCATCTCCGAACCCCACGGGGGCCGTTCTCCTTCCTCCTGTAGGGTCGAGATGGGTCAGAATGGACTCGGCAGGCAGAGAGTGAGAACCTGGTTCTATCCGGTACATTAAACACCAGCAGAACTGAGTTTCCTCGTGTCAGTCCCCAGCTAGAGTCACGTGTCAGCGGCTCCCCGTCTCCCTTCTGGAGGAAATCTAAAGTCCTCCACAGACTGCGTAAGAGGGCCCATATCCCACCCCCTCGCTTACCTCTCCAACCTGCACAACCCTCCCTACTCCGCCTTGAACGCTAGGGAATGACTTGTAGCTCCCTAGCAACTGTGCCACCTAAGCTCCTGATCCCAAGCCTTGGAACTCGCTGGCTGGCTCTGAGATGAAGATACCACCTTCCCTCGGCGACGGCCTGAGCCCCTGCCCTCGCTGTTCTCAAAGACGCTGTGCTCTCGTGCACCAGAGAGGATGCATTTCTATCCGCCAGCTGACAGAGGGGATTTTTGCCTTCCGTCCTTGACTTTCCCTCTGTGAGCAGTAGGACGGAAAGGGATAACTGGAATCATCTCTTTGATGAGGGAGAGCACAGTATCTTTAAGAACTAGGAAGGGCTTTTCTTGAAAATCTGAAATAGTTCAAAGTGAGAGGCTTACAGAGTGCGAGCAATATGGAAACCAAGACTAAGTGATGCATCGAGAAGTTCCCTTTCCATCTCGTCACTCCACACCTCACTTCACGACAGGCTCGGGCTACAGAAACCCCCTCACGACTTCACAGTCAGCTCTCTTCTTATCTTTTCCCCTCTCATTGCCCAAGGGCTCAGAGCTGAATTCACAGAAGTGCAAGAGATACACCTCCATGCCCTCCCCTCCCCCTCACTCCTACCCCCACCCCCAGTCACTGGGCAACAGGGCAGGCACTCGGCTCCATTCAAATTGCTCCTGTGCATGATTAGCACTACAGACAGGAGCACACAGGAAGGGAGGGCGGGGCTTGGATAGGCTGACGGGTTATGAATGTACACACTTACAAATAGAGGGCTGCATTCTCCCCGCACTGGTGCTTGATGGAGAGCTGGTATCAAATAAGACTGACCACCAGCTAGGACTATGTAGTGTGAGGTTGAAGTTCAGAGAGGATGGTACCTAGCGCTTTTCACAATGGCTTTGAGAGAGAGAGACAGAGACAGAGAGGGAGAGAGAGAGAGACAGAGACAGAGACAGAGACACAGAGAGAGGGAGGGAGAGACAAAGAGAGAGACTCATCCACTGTGACCTGGCACCTGAGCAGACCACTCCGTAGTAATTCTCCTCCCCACTCTTCCCAGAAAGATTGGAATGATTCCAATTGACAGTGACATCACAGTCTCACAACAGAGGTCTAAAAGTTGACCTCCAGAGTATGACCCTGTGACTTCCCCTAGAGAGGAAAGTCCAGGAGAGACAACGAGGCCCACGATGTCTACTCAGGGTTTGGGAAAAATTCCACCACGCGGGTACTGCAGAGTGTGGCTGGCCACTGTTTGCAAGGCTCGAATTCTTTTTCCTCTCCTTTGGTTTTTGTCTTTGTGGCTTTCTGCCACATTTG